GCTCTTGGTATACTAAAGCAAGCAGAAAATGCTCTTCTAATTCTGAAATTCACATTTGAAATTTAAATCACAGAAAGAAAGAGAAAGAAAATAAAACAAACAAAGCATTTCTCATCTGATAATGCAAAAAAAAAAAATCATTATTTTGTATGCTGCAAATATATAAATAAATATTAAAGCTTTTCCTCATTTAAACTGCATTTGGAATATCCTACACCATTACTTAAAATGACAGAAGAATACAGCTACCTGAAGCCTATGTAAAGAATCTCTCTTTAGCAGGCTTTTAAAGATTGCAAGCCAGAGCATCTAAAAAGCACATCCCTGAATAATTTAAGGCTCCTGGCATCTACATTGAAAGGGCTCCTTTGCTAAACCTGGAGGAACAAAAAAAGAGGTAAGAGAAAGAATAAAGGTCATGAAAGATCAGCGACAAAATCACTACTAGAAAAAGTATTTTTCCTATTTTAAAGTTTAATCAGACATGGAGGAGCACAGATTTTACAGCCAGCTCTTCCCATTTACTGTCAACAGATGTGGTCTAACACTAACATTTACCCCTTGGCAGCGTTAAGGTAAGGCTGTGATGATCTCGGAAACAATACAGGAACAAAATGAACGAGAAGGAAGGAAACTGATCAAGAAGGTAAAGCACAAGACAAATCCTCATTCACAGAAGCTCAGTAACAAATAAAATCCAAAATCTAGAATTTATCATTAGTTTTAAATATGTAACTGACATTTCAGGGCAAAAGAAAAGAAAGAAAAAAAAGAAAAAGAAAACTCTGAAAAACTAGATCTGTGCAAATACATAATATTAAAACAAAATAAAACATGATTATGCTATTAAGACACCAGGCAATCTAGTTTGGTGCAGAGTAATCCCCATTTATAACCAATTGTACCAAGGTCGCATTACAATTCAGTGTTTTGTTGACAATACCAAGTTTTCTTTGCCAACCACATCTTTTAAACATCAGCAAATCCTACCTACTTCCTCTTGTGTCTGTCACAGAAACCATCCAAACAATGGGAGCAAGTAATCTTCACCTCAACAGCTATTGACTTCGAGCAAACTGAACACTTTATTCATTTTTACTCCTGGAGTGGAAAGTCCTTGCTGTTCTACAGTATCTGAAAGCCTTGCCACTGATTACAACCAGTTCAGGATCTGGCTCCTCCTCAGTATATGAAAATGGACTTGAAACAATAGGAAACCTTATCTGAGGAAGTTAGCACAGGTCACCCTTCTCCAAATGTGAATACTGACTTTATATGGACAGAAAACCAGCTTAATTAAGTTTTATGAATTGGATAAGAATTTGGAAGAATGTCACATATAGAAGACTGGTTTTTTTTTTTTTTTTTTTAAAAAAAGCAAACCAAAACATTCACCTTTTAAGAGAAAACAGATTTTTACATCTTTCCTTTATGCAACTTTTCATCTCATTGTCAAAAAACAGTCATTAGGAAGTCACTTGAATTTGAGCAAACGTGTAAACTGCATTACAGAAGCAGAATCAGAAAGAGGCCAAAACAGCCTGCCCAAAACTAAATTTTTAAATAAAAGCCTGTAGAAGTGAGGAATCACTTATCACTTATTTCTTGCAAGAATGGAAACGAAAAAGAAAATTATACTATTTAATATGCAATTCAATATTTTTCCAGTGCAACTTCAAAACTAAACAAAAATATATTTTTCATACACATTTTTCTCCCTTAGAATTCAAGAAGTTCAATGCCCACAGAAAGCAGAAAGTTACGAGAAACTAAATTGTGTTTTGTTTTTCTAATTTCATCCAAACAAGCTACTTGTTATCTACTCGACATTTCACTCTAAACAAAACTTCTTTGTGATAGGTAAGCCAAGTTAAAAAGATTTAATAAAACGGTAAGAGAAGATGGGGCTTTGACGACACAAAAGAAAGGTTTGAAAGTGCAGGCATCACTAAGATTCTAATGGTAGGAAGGACCTTTTTCCAGAAGRCATAAAGGGGTAACAAAACAAAATTTACTTTTAAACAGGTAAACTRAAGCTTAAAGCATTAAGGGGAAGCTTGACATGCTGGATCCTTAGCTAATAGAAATATGCGTAATTCCAATAACGTCAATACTACAACATGAAGTTATGCTAGCTGTTGATCTCACTCATAATATCTAGAGCCCACACCTAACTATAAATACACATATTATGTTTGCTTTTTGAAAACTGATTGAAGTTTAATAGCAACTCATAATTGAAATATTCRTGGTCCCAAGCTAGCTTTGAAGTTAAATCCCTGAGTGGATAAAGTGGACTGTATATCTAATCTAAACTAAATGTTTCCCTTAGTTACTAATACCAGTGCAGTTTCACTAGTTAAAATCATTATTAAAGAAAATAATTGCAAAACCCACAGCACTGTAAGAGGCATTTAATCCTGCTCAGTGCTAGGACACAGCACATGATCTTGGCAGTATCGGTTCCTCCTCTACCTTCCACATCTTACTTCAAGAGCTGACTTCTTCAAATCACCAAACTGGTGATTTCTAGGCAAGAAAATTTTAACCACATTGTTTCAGAACTGCTACTGTTACCGGAGCTTTTCAAGTCTCCTTTTAATGTTTCAATTTAACAGCACAAATCTGTCTCAGCTTTAAAACCCATTTCTCAAGCGATGAAGCAAGAAATAAAATGCCATTATTTTTTGTACCTGGACTGCAGACTGTAACTGTTTCACTGGAGCACGTCAGTTTTCTTTAGATACTTTGCACACCACACACACCCCCCTACCCCTATACAGCTCCATAAAGGAAATTTCTGCAGCAAAGCACAGTTTAGTTTRGATGCCTTTGAACTAAAGTGGCTGTGACCCCCTTCATTGGTTTACACTTCTGTCCTTCCCCATTTTTGGCTCAATTAAATGTATTAAACACTAAATCTACAAAACCTTTTCCATTCTCTCCCATGTAAAAAAAAAAAGAAAATTAAAATTAATAAAAGAATTTTAAATATTTTTTTTTAAAAACAAGTCAAGTGTCTCAGCCAGACTGCTGCCAGTAATGGGCTTAGTACTGCACAGTTTTAGACTATACAGAGCAAGTCATTATAATGGAGTTTGAAGGCAGGCTTGGATCCTAGAGAAAACAGTCACAATTGTGCTACTTCTGCAGCAGTAATTTCCCCATGGCTTTGGTAATGTTGATCTCCGTTCCTGTTTTGCAGAGCCCACAGCTACATACATTATATCCAAGCATATGTCTGAAACTCCATAACCTTTGCCAGAGTAACTCTCCAGGAAGCTCTCCTGACCTTTACTTAAGATAAAGAAACCAACTGAAATGAAGAAATAAATGTTCCTTTGATAATACTGTGTAAGCTGTGGCTAAGGAACTTTGAAATACAACAGCATTAATAAAATAGCCATATTAGGAGAATTTCTTTATCACTAAAAGCAGTGGCCAGCTTCAATGGGGCTTTTCATTCACAGTTCACAAATTATTTTCCAAGAATCATTGACTGGTTGTGTAACTATAATTGTGGGTTAATAGAAGCCYCAACTGAACTTTGTACTCTTACACAAAGGATATATGCATGAATGACTGTATTTGGATACAGATCCACATATAAAGTAACATATCTAATTTTCACTTTATAGATTGTTTTGTCTTTCATATTATAATTTAATTTAAAAAAAAAAAGTCTTTGAAGACAGAGGTAAAAAAAAACCAAAACAAACCTTTGTTATAAAAGGCAACTTTCAAAGTTTAATGATTGTTGGTTAGCATATGTACAGGAAAAACARAATTAAATTGTTGCTGTGCAGGGATACTACCCTGTACAGCAACAATTCCAGGGGATTTTTTAAAAAGTGTGGGCTTTTTTTTTGCCTCACAAAATGCTGTTACAAATACYCTTAATAAATTGTTCTTAAAACAGCTTCTTAATAACTGAAAAAAAACCTAAAGGATTTATGGGAAAATTCAGCAAGTGAGAATTTGGTTTTTGGGTTAAAGACTATTTGAATGCAATTCTTCYTAATCTCTCTAATATTAATCCTAACATTTCAGTATATGAAAGCTGTGTTTAACAGCTATCTGGTTTAGTGAACAGCAGTAATTCACTCCGATAGGATAAACTATTTAAATTATTTAGCAAAATGGAAGACCATGTGCTTGGCCACAATCAGCAGATACAGTTTAGAAGAGAAGTCTGATAGTGGGGAGAAGCCTTGCCATGAAGAAGAAAAATGCATAAAGAAGCCCCCAAAAGTCTGTGACTTTGTCAGATGTTTCTCATGCTATGCCCTTGCAATCACCCAATATCACAGAAGAGCAGGCAGAGCAAAAGAGAGCCGAATTTAACAGAATAGTAGCATTTTATCAGGTAAAGGCAAGACTTGAGGGGTACAGGCTGACAAAAATAAGTTTAGGCTCTTGTTAAGAAAGTAGAAAACAATGCAAAGCACCCACCTTAACATAACTCCTGCTTTCACCGATTAACTCAAAGGAAAATACTGTCTGAGCAACAAAATGCCACATGCTAAGACAACTTAAAAATGCTTCAGCTGTGGCTATATTTGATTGATTACGTGGAGAATTTTATTTATTTATTTATACACAAAATGTGCTGAGCAGCCTGACTGCTGCTCAGCAGAGATGCATCCTACATTCCACAGTATCTGATCTGTACGGGCTAAAAAGCTCCTCTGCTCACTCTACAGACAAAGAAACTCCTTCCACCTCCACAACCTAAGTTTTTCCATGCTTCCCTGGGGCTGTGGGTGGAAATGACAGGAAAGGGCCCCCTGCTAAAGGTTATACATTCAGCCCAAACAAGTTCTTTTGGCTGCACATCAAAATACCACTTGCTTTATCTACTCATCACWCTGATGTCACTGAGCAGCAAAAGGAGCTATCACATGACCGCAGATGACACAATAAATAACATTTATGAAGACAGAGGTACAAATATACAAATATATATATTTTAAGAAAGTGATGATTTGTAATATACTTACAACTTTCAGCCTGATAGTCTGGCACAAACTGCTCATCATTGTCAGGTACCTGAGCTGAAGAAAGGAAAACAAAAACRAAACAAACAAACAAAAAAAGAAGAAACAAGAATTAAAAGAAGTCGTTAAAGCATAAATAAAGACTCTTGTGTTTAATTCAAAGCACAGCCAAGTTTAAAACTGTGATTTTTTTTTTATTTCTTCATTGTTGAGAATGAAAATCAGGCAAGCGCATCATATTAATATCAGATAAACCCTGAGGTGAAGCTGCGTGGTGCGGTGGGAGTCCAGAGAAGCCCCGGCACAGAGCAGTGGGAATGGGAGGATGTGGGGGCTCACTGGCCCTGCCTCACTCCCTGTACCAGGGTCTGCACCTACCATGCCATTGGTAAAACTCAGCAGTGCTCATTTGCAAAATATCTGCACATAAAGTCCGCATAAAACCAAACCCTACTGATTAACGCTTATGCTTCTTTAACCTGAAACTACCACACCTTCGGCTTACTTAAAAGTGATTCCAATTGCTCATGGCAGTCAGCCAACACAGTAGGGATTTTCTGTTATTGTTTTAAATATTCAAAAATACCGGACCACAGAATTCCTGGTTCAATGACAACATTTCAGACATCGAAAAAGATTTACTTAAAGCAAAGATCATTATAAATATCCATTTGCCTTACGTAAGATCGTCTTTGCTTTTAGGAAACTTCCATCACAAACCTGAGCTATTAAATATAATAATTTCACGGTCTGCTGATAGATAATTTTGCTCCGCTGGTACCACAGTTCCTTTCCCTTGTATATCTAAGACATTAGCCATCTCTCAAACTGCGTGGTAAACTCATTTAAACCATTTATGCTGAAATACCACTAAATGTTTATTACAGATGAATACATCCAAATAACTGTAGTTATTTGACTGAGTAACATTACACTGAGAAACGGCATYCTCGGAGCATGACTGCTTCTGGTACATCCCGAGAGAGATACAGTTTATCATCTCTTAACTTTGCCATCTTTTCCTCAACATACACACTAACTGGAATCACCACAGCAAAGCTGCATAAAATTGTCATTTAAAAATACTTTACATAGTTCTTGTATAAAGACAAGCAAATAATTCATGTGATCTTAATTAAAAGTTAACATCTGCCATGATCTGGTTACCTAACAAGATTTGAAAGGTAAATGCTGCTTACATAATCATTTATCGAAACTGTGACTATCAAACATTCTCAAATATGTTAAATGATAAAATATAACTGTAATGCCCTTCACAGTACTTTCTAGTATAGGAAGTGCATATTCCCCATTATATATATGCAAGTACTACTAGTTTTAATGTAATTCGTTTGATTTAAAAATTTATTTTTAATTAAAATTACTCACAATTATTTTGAATGTGAACACAGTACGCTTCATGGACCAGATCTCCACTCCTTACTCAGGAAATATTTCTAATGACTTAACTGGAAGTTTTTTTTCCTGGGTAAAGAGTTCAGAATCAGGCTCATTAAACTGAAAAATTATTTGCTCTGGGTTTTAAAATAAAATTAAAATCCTACTGTCTTAATTGCAGCAAATACCCCTTAAAAACAAATGACCTTGGAAATGTAGAAATACAGATTTGAAAAGACGTRTAAGATAAATACACTAAGTGTAATTAGCCTTGTTTTGAACAAAAAAAGAAAAATACAAAAAAAACCCAYAGCTACTGTGGCTTTGTTGTTTGGGCTTCTGATTAAAAGGAAACCAAAAACTAAATCAAACATGACAGTAAACCAGTACCTCTGAGGACATGTTGGCTCCTCGAAGTTTGACGCTGTACGAAACGCTACCAACCCAAATATTCCCAGTGTTTCTCATGCATTCAATTTCTCCTTCTTCCAGAGAAACCACAGAAGTTTCACCAAGAATGAACTCAGGGACAGGATGAGCCCAAATACTAACACTCTGCAATTTCTGACATTTCATGCAATTGACTACGTGYGAATGTTTGGCATTTTCCTTACAAAAATGCCAGCTATTTGACTATCACAGAAAAATCTGATTATAAAATAAAGATCTTCTACTTAAAAATCAGTTCCTAAGGATTTCTTCTATTTCCAATTGTTTTCCAAGCGTCTGCGAGTACATTCAAAGTAATTCAATGAAGTAACTTGTTTACAGACGACACCTCCCACACACTTTTCTTATGCCAGCTATCATTTTTCAAATGCAGCAAGGAGGCCAGTGGAAATATTTTTTCATCATGCACCTGCATTTTATACACAAATGTATACGTAGATATATACATATATATATAAATTTGTGAATCTAGGATATCTTAAAAAGCCTCAAAGAAAACAAAACCCCTCCTGTTTAAATAAAGAGGTTACATCTAGTGATTGCAGAACTGGGATAGAAATCTCATATAACTTTTTAGACAATGTACTCTGCACACTAGACAGCTTCACCAGTGCTTCATTCTGGTTTTATCAGTTTGACTTAGTTCAGAAAAATATCTGTTGTAGAGATTTATACATATATCAGTAAGTAAGGTTCTTTTTTTTTTTTTCTCCCCAGCCATAGAATAAGAAAAAAATAAAATATATCTGGTTAAACTGTCATGGAAACCACTACATTACTGCCATTACCCATGACTTGCTCTTGTTTATGGAGTAAACAAGAATAATGTACTTCATTCATGGATCCCCAAAATTTATGAAGGCATATTTAACAGAGACAGAGTACATCATTTTATCAGTACCCTAGTAACAGGTGGAGACAACGCTGTCAAAATTTACTTTAAATGCAGTATTAAGACAGCCTTAAAAGCCTCTGTAGAGAAAGGAACACAGCAAGTTAAGAAGTGTTTAAAACCCTGTCAATTATAAACAAAACAAATAACAACATCCAAAACATTCAAACTAGGAACATGCATTTCCTATTGGAATGTAAATTTAGCAGCATCAGTACCTTAGAAATGAGCCCACAAGCCGATATTGAGAAATTAAAAGGACCTGCTAACTAGTGGAAATGAGACCTTAAATTATTTCTTCACTTAATCTGATATTATTCTTAAACAAGCAGAACTGAAACTTGCACATGATCAGGCTGCTGAAATGCAGGCACTCATCGCCTTACAGAGGCTCCTTCCACCAGCACCTCGCTGTAAGATGCTAAATCATTGGGATGCATCATCCGATTACTCAAGCAGAAGAGAGCTTCTGTACCTGGATTTTGGATAATTACAGGTAGATTTTGCAGCGAATTAAATAGACAAGTAAAGACACTTCAGCATGAATGTCTGAAAGAAAAACGTAGCTTGCAGTGTCKCAACTGTCTACACATTTACATACATGGGCCATTCATTTCCTCTTTCATTCACAAATCCTGCAACTTAGCAAGGCTGCCATAAAACCTTCTGTTAACATGCACAAGACACATTGCATAAATCACCAAAACTTTATATTCTTTTACTTTGCCATTCAGAGGGAAATTGAAAAAAAATCTGAAATGATCACCCATCTGAATGAGAACATTTCCTTGAGCTACTTAATTATGGGGGTTTGAGAAGGCAAGTAAGTATATTCTGAAAGACTAATAAAAGGTTTTGAAGGATATTAAGCACGTGGCTTTTACTGCTTATAGCAGAAGCAGTTCATTCCACATTCAGAGCCATCAAGTCTCAGACTCCTGAAGCAGACAACATCTGCAGCATAAACTATCCAACTCAGACTAGAATATTACCAAAAGTCTTCTTTTTCTTCTGACGATAGCTATAATGTCTCAAGAGGATTTGGAAAGCATGCAGAAATGTTGATGATTTTGAAGATGTTATCAGTTTAGATTTTACAGTTTCACTACCTACTGAGTAGTGCAAACATCCACAGCACAAAAATACTTAATACTTGTTTGTAGTTTTTAGAGCTTTAAACACTCTTTGAAAGGCTGAACTGATGGCTCATTTTGCACAGGGAAAGCAATTTGGAGAAAAAAAAAAGGTTCAGAACTCAGGCCTGTTAGCTTGCTTTCATTGCAAGTAAACAAAAAGTCCCCATTAACAAGCATCCAGGACAAAAGGAGTTAATATTTAATTAAAACCAGCTCTATCCACTGTAACAATGACCTGGAGCCAAACAAGGCAGAAGATGTATGAGTCATTCTTTCTGCCAGTGAATGAGACAGCTGATCTCCGAAGCAATTCCTCAAGACAAGCAGTCAGAACTGGAGTTCTGCCTCCATTCACAAAAACACAGTCCAGCATGAACCATGTGGCCCCAACCACAAGCTTTTCATGTCACACCCTTCCAGAAAGCTACAGCAAAGTAAACTTGAACTTTAGGCATAAACACAGTGATTTCACTGCTTTGTCTCAAGATGCAGCACAGACCTGCTGAGGAACGTTATTTAATAAATGAAAAGTTAAGCAAAGTATAAAGGGCTTAAACTTAACTCTTCCTTCTCTCACTCACAAACTGCTTCCAAAAGCTCAGCTGCACTCCAGAGAAAGGTGTTCCTGTTAAAAAAAAAAGCTGGAAACTTTCCAGAAAAACAAGAAGCTGAAAATGCTTCACTTAAAACTTTATTTTGGGTAGCAGAACACTTCCTGCAGTACTGTGTGCTCTGACCTCATGCTTCACTTTTAGAGTAAGAGCAATTAGTTTTAAAATATCCATCATTTATTCAAAGTGGCAAAAGAAATTGAAATTGACAGGAAATTCTATATGAGCAGTAGTATTTTGGCCTCAGCTAAAATAAGACTTCGGGCCTCAACAGTAATGGGTCTATTGAGTTTTCTTTGATTCATTGTCACTTCTGAAAATCTGAAAGATTGGCTAAATTGCAAGTATTCCTGCAAGAGCTGGGGTGGGGGGTGTTGGTTTGTGTTTGGTCTTTTTCCACGGGAACAATTGTATCTAACAAAGAAGCACTAGAAAGGCAAAAYAGTGGTAAATTTCAAGATGGCAAAAAATATAATTTCCCATAAGCASTGGATTTGCTGTCAAAACAACCCCAAACCCTTTTTACATAACGTGAGATGCTCTGACTAATAAACTTAAATACAGTTCAAAACTAGCTCCAGATCTCAAAATTCTTCCTTATGTGAATAATCCCTAGGAATAGGAAGATGGGTTTGCAGAATCTGCTCTTCATTTGCTGCTACACTAAAAATGAGAAAAAAAGTTAGCTTAAAATGAGTACGTATATTTAACSTTTTTTGCTACATGCCTCATGGTCAGCAAAGCCCTCTACACTTTTGAAAATTATTATTTTGAGTAAAGGTTATTTACTTTTCTAGCAAACAAGAAAAACAAAACATGAAAAAGTTTATTACTGTGCAGACTTTCAGACTTGAAGATTCGTGGTGGTTTTATTTCTTAGGGATTTTTTTAAAATAACATACCCTTCCCTCTCATTTTGCCTAATCTAACTGTTCTTTTTTTGTGCAGATATTTATGATCATGAGCTGTGAGTATTAGAAATTCAAATTTATCTGATCACTGGAGCCCACCAAAAAAATACCAAAACAAACAGATATTCCCTGTACTACAAACTGGAAGTGTTTTCACTGTTTTTAAGAGAGGTTGCTCCTGTCAGACAGATTTCAGCCATGGAGGTATTAAATTTTATTTCTTGACTCTTATWGCTCCTATAAAAATGTGGATAGTTCTTGAATGTGGCCACATACCATCTGCCTTACACTGGGTAAATTTTACAACTTTTTGGCAGAAAAAAGCTAGTTGGCCAGATTAAACAAAGCCACTCTAACTAGACTAGTATTTGAAGATCCAGTACTTTCTTTTATWAAAAATAATCCTTCAAGAACTAGAAACTATTTCCTTTCACACCTCCTCATTTAAGAAATAAACTACAAGTCCGCACTCGCTTAGACATCACTGCAACACTGGTGGGTCCTTCACATTAGGTGGACATACGGAAGAAACTTATTTTCTAAAGTTCATTCCAGAGTTGGCCATTAATTATTTGAGAGAAATTACTTACATTCAGATACTAAGAAGCAGCTTCTGAATACTAGTAGTTTGTAGAAGCCATCCACTCTATTTAGCTGAGTTGYGGTAGAGGCATGAACCTGATCCCTGTAGCTATTATTTCAAACCACTTCACCTTTTTCTGTGTTTTTTAAATCACACAAAGAACATTATATTTTATTTTTTAGTATATTACCATCTGAGAAGCTTATTATCTATTGCTCTAAGCAGATCTAGTGCATAAATTCATTATTTGTCTTTGCTTGGGATGCCTTTTATGTATCTTGAACAAGCTATAGGAGAAATTAGTATCTGAGTAATATTAAATAAAAACCTGAGGGTTTTGCTAATCTATTATGTCCCAAAACCAAATGCTTTCACCATAGAAAGGAGACACACACTCACTCCTTAACAATTTGTTCTCTCTTCATTTTGTTCCATAATAAGAAGGAAGAGCTACCATGACAAGATAACATTAGATTAATATTTTACCCATTTTTTTCAAGTCACCAAACAATTGTTATATGCCAGAACCAATCTGATTYCAAATACATGGAATCAATAAAGTAATTTTATAGTATTATCATGTCATACTGTTGCCACYGAGTTATTTAAATATAAACCAAAAGATAATATCACAATTTGTCTTGGTTAGCAATAGGCAATTTTAACTATTTCAAGGTTGAACATTGAAAAAATTATTACAGGCTTCCAATTTTCAATTTCTAGCATCAGAAAACAGTTATACTCTATCTTCTGTCTTGTGTAACAATTGACATGGGCAACCTTTGTCAGAGTAAGTTTTACATCAAAATAAATTAGATCCTTTCTTATGTATACAATACTACACAGAGTAAGAAACAAAACTCATTTCCATAAAAATCTACTATGTAGCTAGTGGAACACATTTGTGAGCGCTCTGTAAGTAGTATTCAGCTTGTTAATTATGTAGCAATAAAATATTAAACAGGTTACTGAATTGTTTACATTTGGATTAATACTTTAATACAAGTGAACCTCCCACTAKCTCCAAGAGGAAAAGAATACATTTCTTTTCTGTTTACTTGTTTACCACCAACTTGTCACAGGTGACACTAACTGTATAAATCTTCAGGCTAAAATATGTGATGTAGCAAGGACAGCTTCAGGGAAAGCAAAACAATGAAAAATCCACACCCATTATTTTTGCGTGTCATAAAATGCAACTCACTTTCTTCTCCTAACTAATAAGTAGATTTTTGACCTGGTTACTCCCCARTGGGGATCTGAACTAGTGGGAGAAACCTGGTCAGCTGCCACTGCTTTTCTTAAAAAGGGTCAAGATGTTTTAAAATTTCATGGTCATTTCCCTGGCTCCAGAGCATTATGAAAAGAAATATGTAAACACTACTGATGCTGCCAAATTGGCAGAYTTCTAGCCTAGGAAGGTCCAGAAGAACATAAATGGACACATCTAGCAATGGGTAAACAAGTCTGATTTCAAAATCTGTTTCCTGGCTAAGCTCCTCCATACAGGCATTTGAGCAGAGCTACAATGTCCTCAAACACTAGCATATTATAAAGAATACCAGAGTTGTTAAGGGTGAGTTTTTTTCATAGAACTTTGGGATTAAGCTAATAGCTCAATATTAGATGTTCACATCTTAACTTTTTATTTCAGTTTTAGTTTAGCCTTAAGGAAAGCTGTGCAAAGTTTGTGTTTCATGAAACAGCTAAAATCATGGCATGGCCCGAAACAGAGATTTCTTAAAGTATTTCTAGAACACTGAAAAACTGTAATATTTAGTTGCAACATACTGTGGACAAATAGCATTATTTATGTTTTATTACTCTCTATTAGGCAAAAAAGTAACTYTTTTATTATTAGTTTTGAATATTTCCCAGATTATTTTACCTGCCTTTATAAAGGTTATTCAACCTAGCTGACTCAGGACTAGACACCTTCTCTCTCAAAACCTATCTAAATTTATTCAGTGAAATACACTCTGATAAAGAGGTAAAAAAAATCTCTCAAACAAGTCATTCTAGTCTAAAATAAGCAGTGCCTTCAGAATAAAAATTGCTATTACATTAATTTATGTACCTGCAGAAATTATCAAATTAGTTTTAAATTCTGCATTATTTTTCAAACTTCCATTATTATCAATCATTATAAACCTGCCCGTACTTTTCTGACTTAAGATCAAGGTAATTTAATCATATTTCAGAAACAAAACCATCCATGCCAGTGAAAAAATCAAACTAAAAGCTAACCTCTCCATTAAAAAAGTATCTTTTGAGTAGCATTTTAACATACTTCTGATTTGCTAACATGAATGAGATGATAAAATGTAAAGAGTTCCTTAGGAAAATGACCACAGGGAGACAGCTACAGTTGCATCTGACCATTATACTACAAAAATGATCTTAGTACAGGACATCCTGTTTTCAGTTATTAGGGAAGAACTGTATTAGTTCATAAAAATATATTCTCTGTTCCATTAATTCGAGGAGGACTTTTTGATTATATACAGAGTAACCCCATACTAAAAATAATGCTAGRAGAATAAAAATGTCATTAAGATAAACAATACCTCACAATTTACTTATAGGCAAAGAAACTATCTGTAGAACTGTTAAAACAGAACCAGGACACAGGCAAGTATTCATCAGCAATATTTCCCTCTTTCTATGAACATCAACAGYAAACATTTCACCCCAATATCCCTCCTTTCAAAGAAAAACAAGCAAACAAACAAAAAAAACCCAAAAAACCACAAAACCGAAACATCTCTTCTATAAAAAGCTGTGTATAGTCCTGTACAGGAAAAAAAAATTATACATATATGAATACTCCCATTCATTTAAATCAGGATGAATCTGGAGAGATTATTTTAATTTGCATCAAATTTATGTCTATTTCAGATGCAGAAGTTTACATAAAAAAAATTGACCAGAAATAATAAGAACAGAAAATGCACAAAAATCTTTATGCTTCAAACAGACAGTACTGCAAATATCAAAGGAAAAAAAAATTGGAAAATGTTGCTGAAAACAAATAGACTGGAACAAGCAGAAAGGTACCTTGCAACTTGTTAAAGTTCTGTTAATGCAGCAGCACATTTTTGCTATTGTTAAATGAATCTCTCAACAACTACTCAAAATTCAGATTGATCTATTACTGTTCTTAAACCATCTCGCTTCACTAGAATGTGCTCTGCAAGATTATTTAAAATACTTAAAAGAACATGCATGTGTAAAACAGACCGATGTTAGTTTTCCAATCACCCGGTACAGAATCTTACAACTACAAATACAAAGACAAAAATAGCATGCAAAATATTTAAAGGTTTCTGCAAAAAAAAAAAAAAAAAAAAAAAAAAAAATTAAAAGGTGTTAAAAAAAAAAAAAAAAAAAGAACAACAAGAAAAGATAGAAAAAGTACTGGTTAAGCATTTCATACACACCTAATGTTCTGTGCTGTGAACAAGGTGGAAAGAAGACACTTGCACTTAAATCTTGAAGCATCCCGTCCCGATGAACCCAGAGAAACTAATTTCTGCCATCAGAAAAGTACTCCACCAGAACACCAAATAATTATATGTGCTGCTGAAAAGGAAACAGCAAGCCCAGTTCTGGCTGTATGTAGTCTCTCGAGGTACAATAATATAAACCTGATCAATTGCAATTAAAATCTGAACAGAGGCTTAGAACTTGAAGTCTTGGTGCATTAGTTCTTGCCAAAAGCAGATGTGATTGTGAGCTGGAAGCAATTTCTCCTGGTAATTTGTGATGACACTGGGTAGAGCAGCCCCAGAGTCCCCAAAGACAAACTCATCAGAGGCTCTAATGTATGCATGACACATGAGGTGGCTCTTTTAGAGCTCAATTAATTGGGYTGAACATTAAGACAGCAAGTTCAGGACTTTTTTTTCCCCCTCCAGAGTTGTTTTTCCTCTTTTTACAAGCAGTTTTTTCCCTTACCTTCTGCAAGCCATGTCTCCTGTAATTGGCTCAAATCTTGAAAGAGTTCTGCAGAAAGATAAAGACATGAATAAACGACTCATACCTTTAATCTCTTCAGAAGATTAAAATATGTTCAAAAATATATTTTTTCCCTTAGAACAATATACATTAATTCTGTTTTGGCAGTCAAATGTACAGACAAAGCAGGCATTTTGAGGCATCACTTAATGATTTTTCTACACCTATTAATAAAACCCCAAGCACTTACTGTATTTTCAGCCCTTGAAATAATAAGCAGAATCTCTGTAGTATAATAACCAGAGCTCTGTAGTATAAAAGGCTCATTCAGCAATACATYGAAAAGTTAAAAATTATAATATACCTTACAGGTGAACTATTTCTTCTTACACAATTCAGGCCTCCTCCTTTAATATCTGCCCCAGATAAAGCTTGTTCGGACTTCCACAGTTCTGCCTGAGCAATAACTGAGTATTTTTAATAGTAGGTTCATAACTATCATATAAAAAYCCTGAAGCCATGACCTGAGATGCTGCAATGCTAAAGAGAAATGGGAAATCTTTCGTAGTTCCCCTTATGTTTTACTTAGTATGACATGAGAATCAACACTATTTCCTCTATGCTGTACTCATTGTACTTCTTTAAAGCTAAAACCACCTTCTTCATGGACTGAATTTTGCAGCAGCTTATCTTTTGCAATTCACTGAAATCAGTTTCTTAGAATGGGAGTAAACCAGAGMAGCACTGAGCTTACTTGCAAACCTCAGTTACAAAAATTCTGTCTGCTAAAACTAAGTAGGATATTCAAGCTAACAAATGATTTATTTTTAATTTACTGTTTTTTGAGAGAGACTTCCTCTTTTATGAACGCTGACAGATAACTATTTACATACACTTAAATGACAGAGGCTATTCATTTATCCTGTGGTCTGATACCCCACATTCACCTGGGGAAATGATTTAACTGAAAACCAGAGAGTTGGTTTCTTTTCAATCTACTTTTCCAGGCAAGTAGGGATTTTGAAAAGTGTGTCAATGAGTTCTTACCCTAAAAAGATTTACACAGGGGTAAGTTACAGGCCTCTACATATCTTCCTGTATGTCTTATGTACTTTCAGAGCTGTAGGCGTAGCAAACACACAGTCCTTGTAACCTAAAGAAGTGTTAACAGCTATTACCAGCCTACAGCTCTCAAGCTACAATCCTGAGTGGCTACTGATGGGACCAAGTTACAAATCTTTGGCCCTACAAAACTTTCTCCACTCTCGGCTTCCTTAATCAAAGTTCCCTGGATTTTTAACCCTGTTAGTGTTACACAGTAACAAAAACAGGCCAGCATACACCAAAAGCCTGACTATACCAGAAAGCTGGTGAAAATCAAGTTTCCACACCCACACTCTCTTACTCCTGCTACCACCAGTGGAGACATACAAGGGAAAAGGACGTTAAAAGATGGGAGGGGTGAAGAATGCCCTAAATCTGAAGAGGCCTGATGGTAAAAAAAACAGGTGCCATGACTTGTATCAGATGCTGCAAAGGCTTGGCCTCTGTGCATGACATCCTTGTGCCACACGCACATGTACAAAATGCAACAGGGTAAGTCAAGGAAAGACTTTCAACTTTATAAATGTATTGCCTTTGCCAGTTTATTTTGCATTAGTAGTTTTCTTGTCTTGTGTATTCAGATTGATCTAGATATATTTATCTCCAAAATAAATAAATAAAGAGCTCTCAAAATGCTTCTCTGCATTAGTAAGAAAGGGCGG